GTTGTGACAACTAAAAAGTGTCTCTACACATTGCCAGATGTCCCCCAGGGAGCAAATCACCCCCAGCTGAAAAACTCTTGTTTTCGTACATTAGAAGTAGTAATACCACAAAACAAGATTTTTGTTGTCAGAAGTTGAGCTCTAAAAATTATAAGTGATACAGATGAAAGAGCTTTCAAGAAGTTAAAATGCTATATAAATGTAAAGAAACCATTGTGAAGTCTGTTACTTTGTGGGGTTTGGGGGTTTTTTTCCTTTGGTTTTGGTTTTTTGGGGTTTTGTGTGTGTGTGTGTGTGTGTGTGTGTGTGTGTGTATGATTTTTTGTTTGAAACCACAGCCTTGTACCATTCTGATTATTTAGAACCTACCGCAATGATAAGCTCTGGGTCACTGTCCTCCCTGGCCTTTTTCTTTCCCTGTAACAATATACTAGGAGATCATCAGAAAAGATAATAGGTACATTTGAGAAGGAGGAAGAAGACGAAACTAGGCATAACAGGGAAAATACCTGTCCTTCTTACCTAACCTGAATGAAATGATAACCTTTCATTTCTACCCACCTCTCCATTTTTGCTGTCAACCATAGAGAACATTTTGATTCCAGAGTTCTGTCTTCGACCTTAATATTTGTTCAGCACACCTCTCCTCAGGGCCTCTTTGTGCTCAGTATCTTTGGATATTCCAAAGGGATAAGACACGCTTCCTGTCCTCAGATTGCTCACCATCCACAAAAGAAAAGACCGTGACGGAAAGAAATGACAAACCCGGTGCCTCATGAGGACTTTGGTGTAGTGTCCCAAAAAAGGAATAGTGGGTCTAAGGCTCTGACAGGATGTTAGTGTTCTCTTCATTACCTTGGGCTGCCATAATAAAACAGCATAGTCTGGGTGATGGAGACAACAGTTTATCTGTCACAGCTCCAGAGAGTGCAAGTCTAAGTTCAAAGTTCCAGCAGGGCTGGTGTGTGTGAGAGCACTCCTCCTCGCTGTGTGCTCAGATGAACTATATCCTAGGTGCTTACAGACAGCATGGGCGAAAGAGGAAGCAAGTTCTCTGGTGTCTCTTACAAAGGGATGAAGTCCATTGTGAGGGCCTCGCCCTCGGGACCCAGTTTAGGCCTGATCACCTCCCAAAGGCCCCATCTCCAGCTACCATTGTGTTGGAGATAGGCCCTCACCATGTGAATGGGGGTGGGGGGCACACAGTTCAGTCCATAGCACATACAATCTAATTTCCTAAAAAAAAATTCAGCATTTACTCTGAGCGGACCTGGTTTCCTATTCTTATAAGTAACCCAGATCACAAATCTTTGAGGCACGGAGGATAATAGACTTCGATTCTAATACACTGTTTCTTCAAAGCACTTCGGAATTCTTTTGCACTGCCCTTCTACAGCAGAACTTGTGAGCTCTGTAGGTCTTCTGTTCCCTAAACAAGTCACTGGTGAAGAGGGATGTTCAAGGGGGGGATGTAGCCATCATTGCTTTCAGATGTAGGCCTTCCGCGGGGAACTGCTCTACTCCATCCTCATCAACATCAGGGCTTCTTTCTACAGGTGGAGCTCATGTCTTATGCCAGCCACTTGAAGTCCTTTTTAACAGGAACATTCTCGTAGATCTGCTCTGTGATTTTTCTCTCAGTCATTGGGTGAGCTTTGGAGTGCACATGGGGAGACAGCTCCACACTGAGATGCACACACTGCTTTCACTGTGGTGGATCCTAGTGACATGATCTGAATACTGTTGGTGGCTCAGACACTGGATCTAAAATCCTCAGGGGTCTGGCTACAGGTCTGGTAGGACGTGTCCTCTGCTTTCCATTTTAAGAGTCACCTCCTGCAGAGGCGACTCCTCACCTGTGCTCCCATTTTATTTGTGTGCTTACCGGCTGTCACTTCTTTCTTTCACCTTAAAATGGCAGTGAACATGTCATCTCAGCCCCATAATTTCTTGTATAGAGCATATAGTTAACTCACATGAATTGACTCTACAGTTGTTATTCACAGTTGTTAAAATTATAATCACTAGAGCAATAGTATATTAAAGATTTTTCTCATGTAGTTAGCTGACATCTATGTGATATATGTCTCATAGTTATTTATATTGGATGCTGCTATTCAGCTCTGTATTTCCGTTGTGTGTAGATCAGAGGTCAGCAAACTACAGCCTGTTTTAGTAATATTCTACCAGGACACAGCCACACACATTTACAAGTGATCCTTGAACAACATGGGTTTGAACTACACTGGTCCACTTATATACAGACTTTTTTTTAAATAAACTCAGCATCATAAATGTATTTTATGATTTCCCAAATAACTTCTGCTTGTTTTGAGCTTGTTTTATTGTAAGAATACTGTATATAGTACAAATAACGTGGAAGATGTGTTGAACAACCAGTGGGGCACCTGGGTGGCTCATTCGGTTGAGCATCTGACTCTTGATTTCAGCTCAGGTCATGGTCCCGGGGTCGTGGGATTGAGACCAGCATCGGGCTCTATGCTAAGCGTGGAGCCTGCTTAAGATTCCCCCCCCCTCTCTCTCTCTCTCTCTCTCTCTCTCTCTCTGCTCTTCTCCTCTGCCCACTCCCTCTCTCTAAAAATAAGACTTCCAATCAACAGTAGACTATTTGTAGTTAGGTTTTGGGAGAGTCAGGAGTTATACACACTCGTCAGGGAGATGCAAATCAAAACTACAATGATACATCACCTCACACCTACCAGAATGGCTGAAATCAACAATACAAGAAACAACAAATGTTGGGGAAGGTGTAGAGAAAAAGGAACCCTCCTGCACTGTTGTTGGGAGTGCAAACTGGTGCAACCACTGTGGAAAGCAGTATGGAGGTTCCTCAAAAAGTTAAAAATAGAACTACCCTATGATCCAGTAATCGCACTACTGGGTATTCCCCCCCCCCCAACAAAATACAAAAACACTAATTCAGAGGGACACCTGCATCCCTGTGTTTATAACAGCATTATCTGCAGTAGCCAATGGAAGCAGCCCAAGTGTCCATCGATACATGAATGAATAAAGAAGTGGCATGGATGTATATGTGTATTATTCAGCCATTTAAAAAATGAATGAAATCTTGCAATTTGGAACAATGTAGGTAGAACTGGAGAGTATAGCTAAGCGAAATAAGGCCAGTCAGAGAAAGATACCCTATGATTTCACTCAAATGTGGAATTTAAGAAACAAAACAAGTGAGCAAACGGGGAAAAAGACCAAGAAACAGACTCTTCACCGTAGAGAACAAACTGATGGTTGTCAGAGGAGAGGTAGTAGGTAGGGGGATGGGTGAAATAGGTGATGGGGATTAAAGAGTATACTTGTCATGATGAGAAAAAATGAATACATAAAGTAATTAAATCGCTTAAAAGATAAATATACACAGATTTCTAACCACATGGGGAGTCAGCACCCCAACCCCTGTGTTATTCAGGGATCGAGTGTATTTATATATTGTTTGTAGCTGCTTTTGCACTATTCTTGACAGAGTTGCAACAGATTGTTCAGCCTGCAAAGCCTAAAATGTTTTTTATCTGCCCCTTTACAGAAAAAGTTTGCCCACTCCTAGTTTAGATAACTAAGATTTGCTGTGTTTGTGACTGGCACTTGCCAGAATGTAGTCTACTGTGGAGTGCTGCTTCTCAGGAGAAAAGGGAAGAGTAATTTCCTTTCATGTAAACTACTGATCTACTCTAAAACTACCCCCCAGCCTTCTGAAAGTCTGAGAAATACTAGCACCCAGAATGTAACCCAAAGCCTTGATGCCGTCCTGCTGGGAGAGCCGTCCCCTTCGTGCTGGAGAACAGCATTCTATAGCGCACTGTCTCGAATCAGCTCCCAGGTCACTGGCCCTGCAAAAAGAATGGGGAAAGGGGCCTGGATACCCATCTCCTAAGAGCAAAAGGAAATGATCAAATACCATGGTTTGTATGAGGGGGCTGTTTTCATTTTGAGGATTTGGTTTTCTCAGGGAGGCCTGAATTTATATTTCTTTTGTACCCCCTCCAGACCCTGTGCAACAAGTAATCCCTAGCTTTTTTTCCTCCTAGGGAGGCAAGTACATGCAGGCAGTGATTCAATATGGGAAGATCGTATCCTGGTTAGAGATGGAATATGGCTTATCAGAGAAGGAATCTAAAGCTTCTGAATCATTTCTGCTGGCTGCCTTCCTGAACCTGGCCATGTGCTACCTGAAGCTTAGAGAATACACCAAAGCTGTTGAATGCTGTGATAAGGTAAAGGGTGTCTGCGTGTGAACTGGACTTTCCATAGTCCCAGTCTTTCTCTCCGTTTTCATACTTGGTCTTCTTACTTTGCTTCTTCTTAGCCAAGGGGTAGGTGGTGTTTCATTTTGCCTTGTTATATTCATTTGTTAACTTGGGATTCTTTGTTTCATCTTATGAATTGGGAAATTCAGAAACATTACAACTATAGTCAGACTTTTCTGATGCCTAGATGATAATATACTATGAAGAAAAGTTTCGTTAAAATTTTTTTCATCCATGACCTTCCTTAAATCTATGGCATCTGGTATCAGATTGGACATAGAACTCCTCATGTTTAATTTACTAAGAACAGATTCAACTTCAGCCTTTCAGGACTTGAGTATGATAGAGTTGAGCTGCTTACATAGAGGTCACTTAGGTATACTTTCGGCACTGTTTCTACAGGCTAAATTTCTAGGAATGGAATATGGAGTCAAAAAATAGATTATTGAGGGGCCCCTGGGTAGCTCAGCCATTTAAGCATCCGACTCCTGAGCTCCTCAGCTCAGGTCATGATCTCATCGTTCGTGAGTTCAGGCCCCAACCCTCATGGGTTCCATGTTGACAGCATGAAGCCTGCTTGGGATTCTCTCTCTCTTCTCTCTCTGCCCCTTCCCTGCCTTTCTCTCTCAAAATACAGGATTATTAGATATTATCCGTGGGGTTTTTTTGTCAATATTATTGGCAACAAAAAATTTTCATTTTTGTTTCTTGGTTCCTAGTGAAATTATCCATCTTTTCATCATTAGCCATTTGCATTTCTTCTATGAATTGCCTATTCAAATCCTCCAACTAGATGATTTGTCTGTTTCATATTGACTGAGGCAGTCTGTACATTATTACTGCTAACCCTTTATCTGACTATAGGGACCTTGTTCTCCTCACTTGCAAGGAAAGTTTTAAATATTTACTTAGTCGAATCTGTCCTTTCCTTTCTAATGAGAAAGCTCTTGCCTACCCTAAGATGATAAAAATAATTCTGTTTGGTACTTGCAAAACCTACTCTACCTAGGTATGCCTTTTAAAAAATGAATTAAAAGTAAACCGTGTTATATTTTGGTGAGGTTTGTTTTTGCATATAGGTATACGCGGTCTAGGATCTTTTGTGTTTGATGTCATGTAACAACTTAATTCTCATTTTCCATGTTCATAGCCAGTGTCTCAGCTCCATTTATTGCAAAGTTAGTCCTTTCCCTACCGATTTACATTCCCGCCTTTATCACTGCTAAATCTTTTAATGTACATACACATAAATCTGCTTCTGCTTTGTTCTGTTCCGCTTTGCGCACAGACTGGCAGTCAAACTCTTCAGTGGTTTCAGAGTGTATTTTTTTCTGTTGTAGGTCAAGTCCCCTCTCGTTATTTTTGTTTTCCCAAAATTTTCTCAGCCACTCTTGGGCATTTACTTCTTCCATTGAATTTTAAAATGAATTTCTCAAGAGCCTCCTCCAAAGCCCCCTTGGAATCTTTATAGAAATCGTATCAAATACAGAAGTTAACGTGGGCTTAGTTAGTTGGATTTTGATCGGTAGTATTTAATTACCTTGAGCCCCATCTCTTCAATATGCTTTTTCCAATTCTCTTGGCCAAGAAGCTTTGGTAAGTGACTTAAATACTGAATTTCTTCAAAGCACACAAGTTACATTCACCCTTTCTAAAAAGTAGACCTCTGTCCCTAGGCCCTTGGACTAGACAGTGCCAACGAGAAGGGCTTGTACAGAAGGGGGGAAGCCCAGCTGCTCATGAACGAGTTTGAGTCGGCCAAGGGCGACTTTGAGAAAGTGTTGGAAGTTAATCCCCAGAATAAGGCAGCGCGACTACAGATTTCCATGTGCCAGAAAAAGGCAAAGGAGCACAATGAGCGGGACCGCAGGATATATGCCAACATGTTCAAGAAGTTTGCAGAGCAGGATGCAAAGGTATGTACAGAACTCTCTCTCTCAAGAGAAACATTAAAAAAAATTTTTTTGATAATTTTAAAAAAAAGGGTTAAGCATGGGACACAAGGACAGGTAGACAACCCAAGAGATGCAAGAATGGGGAGAATGATACCCGATCTTATCTGAGGCTGGTTTGGATCTGGAAGTAGAACAGGGCTGTTCTACTCACCAGACACAAGAGTTGTGAGGCACTGACACATCCGTGAAAGAAATGAGGAAAATAAGTTCCCTAGAGACGTTCTAAAGTTTATTATTTTTTAAAAGTCAAGGGGCGTCTGAGTGGCTCAGTCGGTTAAGCTTCTGGACTTCAGCTCAGGTCATGATCTCACAGTTTGTGGGTTCGAGCCCCACGTCGGGCTCTGTGCTGACAGCTCGGGGCCTGGAACCCGCTTCAGATTCTGTGTCTCCCTCTCTCTGCCCCTCCCCTGCTCATGCTGTCTCTCTCTCTCAAAAATGAATAAACCTTAAAAAAATATATAATAAAAAAAAAGTCAAGCACATCAGGTATTTTTTTCAGATAGTACGTCTTTGTTGAGACTTCCCATTTTGCCAGGGATGGGCTGTGATGGGGAAGGCCTGCTATCATACCCTTTACTTTGCCGGCCTCCCCACAGCAGAGTTGTACTCTGGTCCTGAGTTCACCGCCCGCTCCCAGCCTCTTGTTGGCAGCCATGCCTGTGGCAGGTGGCAGGCTAGTCCCCTCCACCCAGGAAAAGTGAAAGCTGCCCCCTCAACTGTTGGCAGCACTGTCCTGACTTCCCCGGCCGGGCAACCCCAGTAAGATCGTCGCGTCCCCGTTCCACACCTGACGGCCTGTCGGGAGGAGCCAGGAATTCCTTCAGTGTTTCAGTTCCTTGTTCCTCTGACCCTCTTGATTTCTTATTTTTTCCTCAGGAAGAGGCCAGTAAGGCAGTGGGCAAGAAGACTACAGAAGGGGTCGTCAGCCGTGAAAAAGAACCAGAGGGGCAAGCGATGGAAGAGAAAGCCGGAGGCCACGTATGACACCACGCCAAGGAGGGAAGAGCCCTGATGAACTCGGCCCCCTCCTCCATGGGCTTTCACCCTACTCAGGACTAAACAGTGTTTAATGTAAAGTTTATTATAGTCTGTGTGATTCTGGAAGCAAATGGCAAAACCAGTGGCTTCCCAGAAAACAGCCACCCTGCTGCTGCCCAGTGCTCTCCTCGAGGGGGTGGCATGGGACCACTCCAGGTGGAACAAAACGGAAATGACTGTTGGTGTGGCAAGGCTGAGCCAACAGCTCGAGTCCAGCTCATTTCAGTTTATGTCAGCCTTTGACATCTAATTCAGGGTCCCTTGAGATAATCCTAACAATTTGGGGCTGTCTGTCAGGTTTTACATTCGATTGAACTTCAGTAGCACTGCGGAAACCTAAAAATAATTGCTTAATGAGTTTCTCCTTTCCTACAGTTGGGTGGGGGAGAGGAGGAGAAGGTTTGGCTTTTTTAAATGACTGAAGTGCTAGCATTTTTTAACCAACAGAACCCACAGGTGAGGCGTCTGGAATCCCCTCAGGTCCTCAGCAGCCGCCAGACTTGAAAGCCAGAACCTCAGAGGCCACCGGCTCACTGACTCAGCCAAACTCCCTCCTCCCTAAGCCAGCCTCCTCGGGAGAGTGGGTTTCTCCTGCACCCAGCCTGGCCCTGGAGGAGGGACCCTGTCATTCCCAAAACATTCTTTAGCGACAGTAATGAGCAGAGCAGTGTGTGGGCTAGCTTTCCCTGCCTTAGGTGAAGCTCTGAGATGCCGAAGCGTGAAAATAGCCGTCAGAATTGTGCTTTCCCCCCTCCTCTGGCCCTTCTAGGAGAAATGTGGAGGACAGCCCTGCCTGCCAGCATTGCTACCGTTCACTTTCTTCTTTCCATTCTGACCATTGCTATTACGTATTTAAGACTTGTTCTTAGGATATCTGACCTGGAGTGGATTTAGTTACATATCCACTTAGGATCGCCGCGGCTTTTGTTTTTGTCTTTTAAAAATTACTGCCTTGTAAACATGTATACTGATTTATGGAACTTTATTTACACTCCTCTATCATGCAAAAAAAAATCGACTTTTTACTACTATGAGTAGCTTAATTTTTAAAAACAAAATCTGTGGAGTTGTAAAAATAAGTAGTTGCTCTTGTGCATTAAGGGTTTTCCTCGCAGGTTTGGCACGCAGTAGCTTTCCCCTCCTGCTGATAGCTTCTTTGTTCTGGTGTGGGTTGTGAAAAAGAATCGAAAACCGCTTCCTGTGCAGGCACATCTCGCCTTGAAAGCTCCAGTACTGGGGCGGTGAATCGGGGCAAGTCTTAAAATACGTACACGCAGTGGAATCTTGGTCCTTACGGGTAAGCGAGATTGAGCGTGGCTTTCTCTCCCCACAGCCTGAAGGCTCTCGTGGGAAAGCGCCTGCAACTGAAGGAAACAGTCGCTCCAACCTGGAACATCTCATTTGTAAAATCCTAAAGAACACTGGCAATTAACTTCATTTTTACTTTTATGGTGGTTTTAACAAAACACTTTCGTTGTTAGGTTAGGACCCACGTGGCAACCTAAAAATTAAATCATTTCCTTTTATACCAGTTCTCTGCTCCATGGAACAAACGGAATGAAATTGTGAGTTTCTCTTTTGACAACTAGAATCCTTTTAATTTCTCACTTTTGTCTTTTTTCATGAGATTTCTTCAAAAGCCCCAGTCTCGCCTAGGAAATATGAAAAGCAAAAGTTGATTTTGCTTTGTTTGCTTAACTGTTTAGTATTTGTAGCTCTGTTGACTAGAGCATGACTTCAATGAGGCCAATACTGAGATTTCATCCTAAAAAGGCCAGTTAGTGTTTTGCAGGTAACAAACAAAAGAACAATTCCAAAAATTAGATCACCCCAGCCAACTGTCTCCCAGGTGTGTGTTATGGGTCACCAGATTGGGGGGGGGGGGCGGGGGTCGGGCGGGCACGCGGGCGGGGCGGGGAGGGAAGGGGTGTGTGGGTGGTTCTGAGCATATGATTGTGGGTGCCCATCGCCTCTCGAGAAGAAACTTCATATATTCTTCTATCAAATTCAGTGATCTTAATTTGTCTAGAAATCAGCAGATGTGTTTGAACCATCTTTTAGACTACATATGGAGTGGTGAGGCAGCATATGATGAATTAAAAACTTGTTTTTAAAAAAATCACTCAGATACACTTTTTTGTGTTCCTCAAATAAATTTTAAAAACAACCAGACATAAACTTTCCATTATTCTTGGTTTTGCTTCAGTAGTCTTCAGGAAACGTTGTTTTGGTTGGAAAACCATGGGGGCCAAGTTGAAGACATGTGACATCAGAAAATTGGCTGGAGGCCATATTGTCTTCCTTGCTCTGAGGACAGCTGGAAACCAGCGTGGGACTAAAGGTGGCAGGATGATGCATCTTTGTGCAGATGAACCACATGATCAGAGAGACCAGAGGATTTTGTTTTCTCACCAGCCTGTGGATATTCCGCCATTTTAACTGATCGTAAGGTTCATTTGGGAAATGAAGAGACTTCGTAGTGCCCTTTAATAAATATGTAAAACATAAGCATGCATCAGGGGATATTCTGGCTTAAGTGTGCCTGTCCTCTAAGTAGCATATTGCATCAGATACTCCTGGTTGCATACTCGGAAGGCCAAGGGAGAGGTCACATACTGCAAAAGAAAGGTGACGCGGGGCTGGGGTGGTGACGATCCTATCTCCACTAGCTCTACGGGCATCTGCAGATAGGTCAGTGCAGGCTCCAGAGACCTTATCTTTTATCCTTCTGAATTCCTTGCTTCATCTCTGGATTTGAATTCTACTCCTACCCCTTTGCTGCTAAATTACTTGAAAATGAAATAATTGTCTTTATTTGCATGATTTTATAATATATTTTTTTTACTTATCTTGAGAGGTGGGGGGGAGAGAATCCCAAGCAGGCTCCTCACCGTGCAACGTGTGGCTCAAACCCACCAACCATGAGATCGTGATGTGAGCCGAGATCAAGAGTTGGACACTTAATGGGCTTAACCACCCAGGCGCCTCTGCATGTTTTTGCTAAGCAAATAATACTCTTGCTAGGGGTATTAAGGATAGCCAGAGGTGGTTTCCCAGCCGTGACCTGGGTAACTCACGGCAGCCTGCATCCACTCCAGAGATGAGTGTGTCAGTGAAGAGCTTTGTCCACATGTATTCAGCCTTTTTAGCATCGTGCATCAGAATGTAGGACTGGCAACCCTGGGAGACTCACCAGCGTTAGTGACAACATGCACTGAATTCAGACTGATGAGTCAAGATCCCAAAACTAAGAACTCCCTAGCCTAGCTGTATGTTATTTCTATCCGCTGGCTGCTCACATGTTCGAGTAGCAATGACTGACAAAAGTGTACATAAAAGAACATTCCGTAATGGCTTGAAAATGTCTTGAGGGACACCCACTCGGTGCTGCCTTGCATATTCTTCTCTCCTTCTGATGTTGAGGGGAGGCGGGGAAAGGATACAGAGAAGGCGCAATAATTTCATCACTGCTGTTTGCATAATTTATCTCTTGATCTATAATTGAACATAATCTACACATGTGTCCTTAGTAATACATTGCAAAACAGGAACATCACCGAAGGTAACTCCCAAGAAGATCTTTGTCAGCATTTTGTTGGGGCTAACGGCTGCCTAGAGACGGGACATCTTGAGCCTAGTCCCTGATGCAGGAATTTCCAGAGGACCTTGGGGAATCACATGTGGAGGCCCCAGAATGGTGAAGTGGCCGGCCCACAGTCACCCAGGTCGACTGATGTCCTTGCACAATTCCAAAATAGGTCTTTTTCCAGTCTGAAGCATGATCTCTTGGCCGATGGAACGAGATGTTGTTAGTTCTTTAAAATCCCCAAGCATTTGGTTGACCGGAAATGACAGCAGAGCCATAGGCCTCATACTCCACTTTGGGGTACAAATACAGGAAATGTAAAGCATAGGCATGATTTGCTTTTTAAACAATGCTGGGGGGCGGGGAGTGCCTGGGGGGCTCAGTCGGTTGAGTATCTGACTCTTGACTTCAGCTCACAATCTCACAGTTCATGGGATCAAGCCTCGCATCAGGGTCTGACAATCAAGGGCAAGTAGTAAAATGTTGAGTGACGCCAGGCGTTGACAAGGGTAGGGTAGATCTCAGCTACTAAGAACGGTGCATAGGAAAAGCTGTCCTGCAGTTGCAAGCTAAAACTGGTCATTACTATTTACTGGGTGCTTCCACTACAAGGCACTCAACCACCTCGCCTTCTGCTGACCTTCCAAATATAAAAAGTATTGTTGCTGCATTGTTTCCACCTTCCAAGTCTCTCACAAGATCCCTAACCCAACACTGCAAGGAAGGAATGTATTTCAAACTGGGCTTAGCTGACACGTTACAAATACACTAAGTGTCCAAGGCTTTCTTTAGGTATTAAATATTTCTGGCCTGGGTCTGCTTTGGATTCATGTGTTTTCATAAGATAACTCCTTGCTGTACGCATTATGACTTGGCTTTAAAATTATCTCCTTAAATATGTCTGACCAAGAAAATAAGCTGGGAAGAACAAGCCAATGACTGGTATTTGGGGATGCCACGTCCAATTCTAGTTGCCCGACTAACTTATCCGATGTCTGCTCACAGCCATCTTTTCACACTGAGAATTCCTCATCTCTTTGGTCTAAACACTTAAGCCCACATGTATACCCTCAATCTCTACAGATAGACCTAAGTCTTCCTGAAAATGACACCAGCCTGAGCACACAATATTCATGCGACCACCCCTAAAGGATCCAGGAACTCACTTATTCCTTGACTCATCACCGTGCCAGCACCCAGTACACCATCACCACTCTAGAACATAGTAGATGCTAAGTAAATTGGTTTCCTGCCCTTTCTCATAAAGCAGCTCCACACCTCAATCTCCGTGGTCCTTCATTCCTGTTACTTGTCTTGGTAATGTGGAGGCCAGTACCACGTGGTTTTCTAGCAGTTACTGCAATATGATTTTGATCTTGAATTCCTTGAGGTGGTGAACAAGGAGCAACTTGACTTGAGGGGGTCATAACTGCAAAACGGGTCTATGGTCTTCAGGCTCTCATGATTTGAAATCTACCTCCAGTCATCGGAGTTAACTCATGATAACTCAGAGTTCATCAGCCTAAACAGATCAAATGGAGGAGGATTCTGGGAAGATGGCAGAGTTGGAAGCACTAGGAATCTCTCCTCACCTAGACAACAGTTGCACCTTCAGACTCTGTCTGATGTAACTATTTTGCAACTCTGGAGTCTGTTGAAGACTGGCAACTTCCTGAGGAAGGCATGGATGGTAAATTGCGGCCAGTTTCACTCAATTTTGACTCTTAGCACCGTAGCAGCTTACCCATCCACCATTTCAGCGTGGAGCCTGAAGCAAGGATTCATCTCATGACTGAGCTCATGACCTGAGCCAAAAGCAAGAGTCGGACACTAACCAACTGAACCACCCAGGCAGCCCAAAATAAATACATGTAAAAGCTAGTATTGCAATCCCTATTAAAATAACCCCAGTATTCTTCACAGAGCTAAAACAAACAATTCTAAAATTTGTATGGAACCATAAAAGACCCTAAACAGCCAAAATAGTGTTGGGGGGAAAAAAAAATCTGGAGGCGTGATAACCCTGAACTTCAAGCTGTATTACAAAGCTGTAATCATCAAGACAGTATGGTACTGGCACAAAAACAGACACATAGATCAATGGAACAGAATAGAGAACCCAGAAATGGACCCACAAACGTATGGCCAACTAATCTTTGCCAAAGCAGGAAAGATCATCCAATGGGATAAAAGACAGTCTCTTAAGCAAATGGTACAGGGAGAACTGGACAGTGACCTACAGAAGAATGAACCTGGACCACTTTCTTACACCATACACAAAAATAAACGAAAACGGATGAAAGGCCTAAACATAAGAGGAAGCCATCAAAATCCTAAAGGAGAAAACAGGCAACAGCCTCTTTGACTTCGGCCACAGCAACTTCTTGACATGCCTCCAGAGGCAAGGGAAACAAAAGCAAAAATGAACTACCGGTGTGGTAGGGTCCCCTCCCTAAGGAGAGAGAAAAAAAGGAGAGAAAACTTCAAGGTAACCTGGCTATGCACCTATGTGACAACATCCCTCATGACCTTGTAAACTGAAACTAATCAGACTACATGTTTATGTGTTACCATATATGGGAGACAAAAAAATAGAAAATGCACTTTAAAAACTATGCCTTGTGATGTTCAGCGCTCAGTTCTTTGGGTACGAACCCAACTGAGCAGTGCTGGTGCGAATA